ATAATAATAATAATAATAATAATAATAATAATATACTGTGTCTATTGCGTGTCATTGTTATATTTTTGTATGTTTTTTTTAATAAAGATTACTTAAAGTTACATTTTTGTTTATTGGTTGACCATTAGCTGTTTTATTTACTGTTGATAAACTTTACAAAAATACATTTAAAGTGTAAGAAAATATAAGTAAACATGTTGTAAAACTTTTTTTAAGGTTTATGCATCAGTTAATTTATTTTAAGCATCACAAAGTTCTGGGAAACATGCTTGTCGTACTAGATCTTGTTCGTATGTTTGATAAAAATCAAACTGTTTTCGCATCGTTCCATCTGCAGAGACGTGTACCGGTTTGAAGCCTGCCTCTTGCGGGCTCGTTTTGACGAGAACAAGGACGAGAAGGATATGGTGAAGGCCACGTTGATGCTGAAAGCAGGAGAGGAGGAGTTCTGGATCAACCAGCATCCTCAGCCCTACATCTTCCCCGACTCCCCTGAAGGCACCTCCCATGAAAGAAATGATTGCTACAAGGTGGGGAAGGACTGGGATAATTTACCACCATATATCTGTCAAAGACCAATGTAATTGCTGTGGTATGCAAAGCTGAACCAATAATATTACATTGTGTCYGTTAAAATATAGCCACAGAACTCATTTAAGATAAGATAAGATAAAACTTTATTGATCCCACAGTGGGGAAATTTGCACATTACAGCAGCTCAAAACAGGACAGGGTGAGATAGAATAAAAAAAGATAAGTAAAAGAAAAAACACTATACTCGTGACATATAACGATGGACAAATACCTAGTACAGTACATAAATGAATAAGGTGCATATTAGTGATGCCATTTAACCACTTATCAGCTAATAGAGCACTTAATGTCTTATTGAGGTATAGATTAAGGTGACTGGTAAAACCCTCTTAATGCTGACAGCACAAAAAAAGGTTAGAAAGATGAATTATTTGCACTCTGTTTTGTCCTTGAAGCTCCCAGAGTGGGTGCTGGACTACTGGCACCCCTCGGAAAAGGCCATGTATCCTGATTACTTCGCTAACAGGGAGAAGTGGAAGAAACTGAGGCAGCAGAGCTGGGATAGGGAGGTAAGCGGCACTCCCWACTGAAACAGCAACTTGTTCCTTTTCCTTAAAACAATTTTCCAACCTTCATGCATGAAAAAAAACAGGCTTTTTTTTAAATGTGTGTTTGCACTGCATGGAAATTGATACACTGTTGATTTTTCAGGTTTTCTCACTTGCAAAGCTTGTAGATGACTGTAATTTTTATCACAGGTACTCTTCAACTGTGAGTGATGGAATCTAAAACAAAAATCCAGAAAAATACAATGTATGATTTTTA